TTTTAATAAACAGAGGAGGCAGAGGATCCTGCATGCATCCCCATCTTCTGGATCAGCAAATGGGTCGACTACTCTGATAAATATGGACTGGGTAAGTATTACACTTAGAGTCCACATCCATCCATCTAGTTGGCTGCACTTGAACACCTAGTTCAAAACAAACCCCTAGTTCAAAACAAACCCCAAAACAAAGGAAACACAACTGTGATATTGGCTCATTTATGAAGTCAGTCTAATACTAATAGTGTAATATTGAACTGTAAAGAGAATTTATAGTTTCACTGTGAAAATTGGTAGTCATTGGCCTCCATCGGTGGGCTGGGGCGAGTGTTTATATAGGTATAGCCGTCACTATTTTATTTTTCCTTTATTTTGGAGTCAAAAGTGATCAGATTTACAAAGTTATGAGTTCATAGATGGTATAAGACGGATGGAGCTAGTGTGATGCCAAAGCTGCAGGTTTTCACATGGATTTATTTGACTGCCATGGGACTGGATTTCTTTTTGCAACCTTGGGCTTTCGCCCTCTGGTGGCCATTAAATAGAAGACATGTTTAAGGGACTTGTGGTTAAACTTCACTTTTCAAACCCAGAATCTATGTCCCAGTTTTTATACTCTTTATGCATCGGTTAATATCTATTGCAAACAAACCAATGCAGGAATTACACTCACTGTAATTCTGAGCACAGACGACGTGTTTGCTAGTTCAAAAGAAACCATAGAGCAAGTGTTGTTGTAAGGAATTTCGCCTTAGATTGACTGAGGTGTTGCTTAACTAACAAGTAGGTTAACACTTTGGTCTAAATGCAGGTTATTTGGTTATTTTAAGTATTGAGCGTTGTGCTAAGTACATTTTGTGGTTATGAATATTTCAAACAAGAGTTTCTCATCTTCATTTCAGGATATCAGCTGTGTGACAACAGCGTTGGCGTTCTGTTTAACGACTACACCCGTCTGATCATGTACGCTGACGGAGACAGCCTGCAGTACATCGACAAGACGGCAACTGAATCCTACATGAGCGTGCGCTCTTTCCCTTCCACTCTCAACAAGAAGGTAAGAAGTTAGACCTTTTGTTTTGTGTGTGAGACGAGGTTTTAAATGGT